GACTGTGGTTCAGGATCCTCATTTTGCATAATATCAAGAGCCATGTTAAAGGCGAAAATACTGTCTATAACAATATTATTCTGTTCCCATAATTTATGAGATATCATATAATTTATTGAGATCTCATTATTTTCGGACACCTTTGGTTCTTCAGGAACCGTACATTCAATATTTGATTGATCAATCTTTTCTAATGTGATTTTTTTGAAGTTTTTGGTTGGTTTTTCTCCTGTACTCTTCTTTTTTCGAGGTATAGAGCCTTTTAAACCAACTGGTCGACCACGCTTCTGGCGTATTTGAGATTTATTTGCCACAGCAGATTGTCCTGCAGGGACATTAATTTTTGCTGGAATATTTTCTGTTGAAATATATGACTTTGTCACTTTTCTCGTGTCAACAAATACATCAGGTAGTTGAATTGCAACTCTTTGCAAATGAATGAATTTTTTTCAACCTCTTGTTCACATTGATTGCTGCGAGGATCAAAGTGAGATAGAGTTATCTCATTCCAAGAAATTCTATCTTATTTTTCAGGATGTAGTTTTTCTCCTCCCAAAGTTGGGAAAGTCATTTCACCAAAATGACAATCTGCAAAACGTGCAGTAAATAAGTCACCCGCTTCTTTTTTTTTTTGGTAAAGATATCCACACATCCTTAGTGAATCAAAACCCACATAAATCCCAAGTCTTTATTGGGGACCCATTTTAGTACGTTGTGGGGGTGAAATAGGAACTTGGACAGCACAACCAAAAGCCCGTAGGTGAGAAATATCAGGTTCATGACCAAATGCAAGTTGCAAAGGTGAATATTGATGAGAGACAGTTGGTCTTATACGAACCAATGATGTAGCATGTAATATGGCATGACCCTAAACAGAAGTTGAGGGTTTTGTTTTCATGAGTAATGGTCTAGCAATAAGTTGTAGACGTTTAATAAACGATTTCGCTAGACCATTTTGTGTATGAACATGTGCAATTGAATGTTCAATTTCAATCCCAATCGACATACAATAATCATCAAATTCTTGTGATCTAAATTCACCAGCATTGTCAAGACGAATAATCTTGATTGAGTAATCAGGGGATTGTGCTCGCAATTTTATGATTTGAGCAAGTAGTCTAGCAAATGTTACATTCCTAGTTGAAAGTAGGCAAACATGTGACCATCTTGTAGAAGAATCAATTAATATCATAAAGTAATGAAATGATCCACATGGTGGGTGTATTGGCCCACATATATCTCCATGTATTCTTTTCAAGAAAGTTGGAAATTCAATATTAACCTTTGTAGTTGAAGGTCTAATGACTAACTTGCCTTGCGAACAAGCTACACATGGATAATCATTAGATAAAAGAATTTTCTGGCTCTTTAAAGGATGTCCATTTGAGTTGTTTATTATTCGACGCATCATTATGGCTCCTGGATGTCCAAGTCGATTATGCCAAAGTATAAAACTTTTTGAATCAACGAACTTCTGGTTCGTAACATTATTTGATTCGACCATTTTTATAAATATAAAATATATGCCAGACGAGAGTGCATGAAAATTTTCTTTTATCTGCTTCTTGCCAGATACAATAGAAGTGATGCAAAGATATTCAACTTTATTTTCTTGCATCGTCTCAATGTGATATTCATTGCAGCGAATATCTTTAAAACTAAGCAAATTTCTTCTGAATTTGCTAGAATAAAGTGCATCGTCAATATATAATTTTGTATTATTTGGTAAAATAATACAAGCTCTTCCAGAGCCTTCAACGATATTCGACGCACCTGATATCGTGTTAACATTATTTTCGGCTAATATTAAGTCCAAAAAGCATTTTTTGTCTTGAAGAATAGTATGCGTAGTTGCACTATTAATTAAGCAGTTGTCTTGACTATCCATCATGAATCTATAAATATAACAAAATAAACAAATTTTTTAAAAAAAACTTGAATTTAGATTTAAAGAAGTAAACATTACTTAATATCATAAAATAAACGGTGCATAATAGAGTTTTATTTATTTTTTTTGCTAAAAAGTAAAAATATATTTCAGACTGAATTTTTAAAATGAAAGAAATACTAGTAAATTAATCTATATCTTCTATCACACCACCTCTAACCAAATGGTCAATATTTCCATTTGGATCAGTAAAGAAATCGGAGACATCCAAATGAGTCACATCAATTGGACCATCATAATCAGCAAAATTAGTCTCCAATTTTTCTTTTCCTTCGATTGATCTATGGTAGAGATCCACAAGATGTTTTGAGGTACGACACGTACGTGCCCAATGCCCTTTCATTCCACATCTGAAGCAACCTTCTTTATGCCCCTTTTTAGATTTGACACTCTCGTTTGCTTTGTGCCTTTTGAATTTATTGTCTTATTGTTGATAACTTTGTTGATTATTTCTTCCATGATTTATTTCACGTACACGTCCGTGTCCGTGTCCACGTCCACGTCCACATCCATTTCCGCGTCCACGTCCACGTCCTTGTCTTGATATTGTATTTACTTCAGACAATGTAGTACCATTTGCTTCAGGCAATGGTATAGAACCAGTTGGACGTAATCCATGATTTTTCATCAACAATTCATTATTTTGTTCAACAACTAGTAAGCATGATATAAGTTCTTAGTACTTTTTGAAGCCACGCTCATGATATTGTTGCTGCAGGAGCACATTCGAGGCATGAAAGGTGGAGAAAGTTTTTTCCAGCATATCTTCATCGGAGATTTTTTTCCACACAAAATCAACTTTGAACATATTCTGAACAATTCAGAATTGTACTCACTAACCGTTTTAAAGTTTTGCAAATGAAGGTACATCCACTCATAACGGGCTTTGGGGAGGACTATAGTCCTCTGATGATCAAATCTTTCAGTTAACTTTTTTCAAAGAGCTTGTAGATCTTTTTCAGTGAGATATTCAATTTTTAATCCATCGTGAAGATGGTGACGGAGGAAAATGAGTGCTTTTGTATGATCCTGCAGGGATTCATTGTTTCCTTCTTTTATTGTCTCTCCCAGACCCTTTGACATGAGATGGATATCAGCATCCAGAATCCGTGACAGATAATTTTTCCTAGATATGTCAAGTGCAGTAAGCTCAAGTTTCGTAATGTTTGCCATTTGTTTAACTACACAATAAAAAAATACAATTAGTTTCGAAAAATATGATTAATCATCACATGTTAATCAAATAGTCAATATCAACATGACTTTAAGTTACGTGTTTTCCTCTAGGGATAAACACTAATTTGAAATAATATGTTCTTCGAAACATATACTACTTCTGGAGCACATTATATTTTGCTATTATTTCTACAAGTGCAATATGTCAATATTCTTCTGGAATATTGAGAGTTATAATTTATGCTCTTCAGGAGCAAATAATATTCTTATAATGTTGTGCTACTTCTAGAGCAACAACGAATAGATCTATGATTAATATTCTTCTGGAATATTAATTATAATGTTATGCTACTTCAGGAGCAACAACAATTAAAAATAAATTTAATATAATGTTTCATAACTAAACATAAAAAATAATAATAATACATCCAATTACTCACCATTAATTAATATACAAATACATGTAAAATATTATTTTGAATTAATAACGTGAGTCGAGTGAAAAAAAAATTGGCGACATGTAGAAACATATTCACATATTATGGCACGAAATTCTAATTATTTACAATTAAAAGAATTGAATTAGTATTAACCAATTAAGGCATGAAATTTGCAGAAACCAATGGATTTGAGAGAAAAGATGAGTTGGGTACAGTTATTTGTTAATTGTATATTATATATATATATGGAATCAGCCAAAATTGATATTTGGAATTGAAGTTTGCTTACAAAGAACATTGACCAATTAAACAAAAAAAAAATTATAAGCATGTGTAGAACGTAAAGGACTAATATAAATATAAGGAGGGTATAAGAACATTAATTAATGCATATCAATTGATTTAACATAAATATATCTCCATAAAAATGCACATGAATTGATGTAAAGGAAAAAAATATTAATTAATTCAAAGAGAGGTACAAAGAAAATATAATGATCGAGAAAGATGAAATCACGTATTGCAGATTCAACATATATATATATATACATATATATATATACATATATATACATATATATATACATATATATATACATATATATATGTAAAATTCACGTATTATCAAATTAATTTTGATATACGTGATAGATGATTATGAAAAAAATTACTACCTTCTAAGAGTTTTGTGCTGATAACGTATTATAAAATGTGAGGAAAAGATAATAGATGAGAGGAAAAGATAATAGAGAAAACTCAAAGAGAATAGAGAGAACTCAATAAACTTTTGTGTGTATTATTGAAAACCAAAGCCCTATATTTATAAGTAAGAATTAGGGATACAATGGTAATAATTTATAGAGCTACAGGGGTACAAATGTTATTCACCAATAAACTTTAATGGACTTTCCATTTACAACATCTTTGTAATTTTTGTTATGTATTTTTGTACAATTCTGTTGATATCTACTTTCAACTTTTAATTTTTTTCCTTCTGTTTTTGTTTGTAGCTTTATGAAAGTTGTAGAATAGAACAGAAGATTAACATAGAAATTGAAGAGTGTCGATTTCAGCTAGGTAGATTCAATATTTGCTTTCATTGAGAGTCATTTTTGTCTTTTGGAATAATTCGTTTTAGCTATAGATTATTTTTAATTTGAGGTTCTAATCTTCTAAGACTTTTAAGAATTAAAGAAATAAAATGATTTAACAAATTTAAAAAAAAAGAATTACAGGCAAAAATTTAAAAAAAAAAACGAAAAAAGGTTATTATAAAGTTTTTTAGTTAAATTGAAATAATTATAATTAAAAATAAATATTATTTAATTAAAATTGAACAAATTATGTTGTATCATAAAATGAAAAGAATTTTAAACCGAATAAAAATTTATTCACTTATAATATGAAGAAAAAAAATTTCAAAATAATTTTCAAAAAATATATAAGAAAACAAAGTTACAAAAATTAAATAAAGAATATATTAATACTATTTAATTAAAATTGAGAAATTAAGTTTTATCATAAAGAAAAAAGAACTAAAAATAGTTGTAAATCGAAAAAAATGTATTTATAATATGAAAAAAATTTAAAAAAATAAATAAGGAAAAAATATTTCTCCACCATCCACGAAGAGAAATAATGAGAATTTCTCATTTCAAAAGGAGAGTTTGAATTCTCTCATTTGAAAGGAGAGTGAATTCTATTTAATTTTTTTTGTTATGATAAAATTTATTTTTTTAATTTTAATTAAATAATATTTATATATTATTTATTTAATTCTTGTAATTTTTTTTGTTTAATTTAATTTATTTTTATTATATTTTTTAAAAAAATTACTTCGTATTATAAATAATTTATTTTTCGATTTAAAATTCTTTTCATTTTATAAAATTTTAATTAAATAAAATTTATTTTTAATTATTTCAATTTAATTAAAAAACTTTATAATAACTTTTTTTTTGCCTGCAATTTTTTACTTCTTTAATTTGTTAAATTATTTAGTTTTTTTATAATATGAAGAAAAAAGAATTTTAATCATAGAATGAAAATAATTTTAAATCGAACAAAAAATTATTTATAATATGAAGAATTATTATTTTTTAAACAATCTTCAAAAAATATATAATAAAAACAAAACAAATTAAACAAAAGAATGTTGTGAAAATTAAATAAAGAA